TTCGAATCACAAAAATTGGTCTTGTTTTCCTTGGCTTTCAAACAACTATGTACAACTTGTTTTGTCTCTAGATCACAAGTAACTAGTCTTTTTTTTCTGTCCCACAAGTAACTGTATATACTTGTTTGGTCTTGACACAAGCATAGGTTAATTTTAATTTTTTGTCGGCTCACAAGCAACCATATACACTTGTTTGTTTTTGGCACAAACATAAAAGGATTAAAAATGGTTGCATAAGACAAAGTTATCTAACTAGACTTTATATAATATTAAGTCCTGATAACATTCTCATTACAATATGAATATCTTCAGCACAATGTACTTATACTCTTTAGCTAGAGTAAATATATTAAAGCAAGAAGCTCTTTGATCATCATTTTACTCATCGACGTCACATGCACAATCTTTTTTAAAAATCAAGTGAAGAATAATTAAAAACTTATTTTTATAAAGTAATACCAATGATTCTTTTATAAAAAAGAACATAATATCAAAATAATAAACTTGAGAAAAATCCATTTTCTGTCAAAGAAAAAAATTTTCTGTTGAATTTCTTTATGAAATCATCTTTGAAGAGTTTAAGTGTATTCCATAGTAAAAAAAAACTTTAAAATGTTATCTTAAGACTTTTTCTTTAAAAATAAATAATTTGTCATGTAGGTTAAAAGAGGAGGAGAGAAAATTTTCAAATGATAGTCAATTTGTTGCTTTTTTATTCTTTTTCACTCACTCTTTTTTTAATTAGTTGAAAGATATTTATAGATTAGATAAGAAAACTAGTCGTTAGATAAAAACAATTTGAAAATTGCAATGTTTGTCTTTTTCTGACGATAAAAAATATATTTATTTACAATTAGATATTAAGGAAAAAAAGAAAATATATGACCTACGAAAGCCATCCATCATGTTGGAGACTGTTATAGGTTTTAACCGACTTTGAATCAAACTAGTATGGATTAGGCTGAGCTCTTTAATCTACTTCACAAATGTGAGGCGAGTTCAATTTTATATTTTAAAATCTGTCCAAATCCAACCAGGTACTTTGTATGTATTTTATAAAATATTATATATTAAAATTTATAAAAAATTTGAAAATATATTAGAGAACCTGAAAATTCTTAAAATCTAAAACACACATTCTACTGACAAGCACCCACTTTTTCCCTTCATCTTTAAGTTTCTTCATCTTCATATATGTGACACTCCTAAACGGTTTCTATTATAAGATTATACACTATTCATTCTTTCACTCCAAATATAATATTTATAATTTTTTAATCAAATCACACATATTCATTAGTTAAATAAAGAAATCAATTCTCGTACAATGAATAATTCTATAATAAAAAAAAAACTATTCAACTATCATTATACACATAGAAGTTCTAACACTATTCCAATACTGTAAGTGTATTACTATGTCTCATCATGATTGAGAATATCTTGCTACTTTTAAGCCCGGTGCTCTGTTGCTAAGCTCTCCATTTTGATTCCCGCCTCAAAGTATCTGGAATAAGAGTAATGAGTATATATAACCCAATAAGATGAAATTTTAAAAATAAACTAATGAATGACAATTAAATGGCCTCCCTCCTTATTATCATTTCTCTTATTTATATCATTATGTTTTCCTTTCTTGATAACTATTAAACAATGACACTACTCCCTTCGAATCCTACCTAACCCCTTACCGTTAGCCCCTCGTTCTTCCAACCACATAACGGACCCGCACTCTACCCGTTTTGTTTTAACCACAACAACTTGCCAACTCGACACCATTTTAGTAGTCCATATGCCACACCCATACATCCTCTCCATCAACCTCATCCCTATCATACCTCTCACCACGCACCGCCCGACCAAGACCACCTAAATT